TGATTTTCAAGTTTTAATTAAAAAAAAAAGAAAATGACAAAAGATCCGATATATTAAACAATAATCACAATTGAATAGTAAAAATGTAATAGGACTACAACTTTGCACCATATCTATGGCGGAAAGAAAGATGAAGTGCTACAGCACAATTCGTTGTACAAAGAAGCCAAAGCAGAACTATAGAAAAATTATTCTACTTATCTTAAGAAATTTAATTGTCAAGCTTATTTAATTTTAAGAATATTCGATCCATATCTATGTTAAGAGGAAAAAAAAACGGAGTCCCGAGTTTAAAGTTGGAGTGGCAGGTTCCTATCAATGGCTGGCAAGGAAGTCATTATTAAAGCTATCATGCAATCCATCCCAACATATATTATGAGTTGCTTCCTTCTGCCTAAGTCACTGTGTAAATAGTTGATGAGCATTATGAGTAATTGTTAATAGAACAGCAAACCAAATAGTAGGGGGATTCACTGGATTAAATGGGACTCCTTGAGTGTCCCTAAGACTATAGGTGGGATGGGTTTCATAGACCTAGAGCTTTTTAATAGGGCATTGCTTGGGAAGCAAGGGTGGAAGTTGATCCATGATAGTAGTTCTACAAATCCTCAAAGCAAAATATTTTGCCAATAAGGATTTTTTTTTTTTTTTTTTTTGTGTGTTGATATGGGGAAATACCCTTCCCTCACATGGTGGAGCATTTTGGAATCATAAAGGATGTTCTAATACAGGGTGCCAGGTGGAGGTTAAGTGATGGTAGAAGCATCAAAGTATGGGAGGATAAATGGCTACCTTTAGAAGACAGGTTCAGACCAAGTTCGACCTCATGCAATATAGCTGCTGATGATGCAAAGGTTGCTGTCCCGATTGATAAGGAGAGAAATACGTGAAAAAAAAGATATTATTCGTTCGAAGTTCACCTATTTGAAGGTAGAATCTATTTGCATGATCCCACTAAGCAATAGTTTTTAATAAAAATAGTGAATATTCCGTGAAGAGTGGTACCGTGTGCTATCTAAACCTTTTGCAAATACAGGAACTCGGGATAAGGTTTGGAAACAGGCCTGGGTAGCAAACATCCCACCTAAGGTCAGACAATTCACTTGGAGGAAGCTCATCAAATATTACCAATCACTAGGAATCTTGCTGTCAAGATTGGGTCCGTTAATCCAGTTTGTCCAATATGCAATAGAGAGGACCAAACGGTGACACATGCACTTAAAAATTGTGATTTCTCTTTGAAAGTTTTGGAAAATTGCAGTCTGTTGCAACAGTTAGCTTGCATCAAGTCACTGGCACATTCAAATGGCTGCAGCTGGCAACAAACAGCCTTAGCCTACCAGAATTTGAACATTCCTCATGGTATTGTGGTCCTCCTGGAATGCTCAGAATTTGGAGGCTAAACATGGCACGAAACAAATGAAGGAGCTATTATCCAAAAGGTAAAATCTTTTTTGGATGAATATCATGAAGCCATGGGAGGTCAAGGTTCACACAGGGTTATGGAAAAGACCAAAAGGATGGCTCCTTCAAACCCTCATTATAAAGTGAACTTTGATGGAGCTCTGAATGTTAATCTTAAACAGGGAGGCTTAGGTATTATGGTAAGGGACTGTCTTGGAAGAGTGATGAAAATAAAGCTCGTGGTTGATGTTAATGTTATAGAAGCTCTTGCTGCAAGCAAAGCTTTAGAAATGGTGCTTCAGTTGGGATGCAAGAAGTTCATTGCAGAAGGTGATGGTCGTACCATTATCAACATTGTACAGCAAGAGGAAGGCTCTTTTTCAATTCTATAACCTATCATTCGAGACTGTAAGGTATGTTAAAAAAACAATTTGAAGAATGTCTTTTTCAACACACATGTAGGGAAGGTAACACAGTTGCACATTGTTTAGCTAAACACGGTTTGTCTTTTAAAAATGATGCTAAAAACTACTAAAATATAATTAAGCATCTGTGAGACTTGCATGGATAGATGCTTGCAAAATACAATGAGGCTTAAGTTGTCCTTTCACAAATGAGATAAAAAAAAAAATGTGGAGGCTTAAAAAACATCACAACCAAATTCTTTGTATATTTTTCAAAATTTTTTAAATAAGCATTTATTCTTCTTTGTAAATTTCGCATTGAAAAATATTTCAATTTTTTTCACAATAAGGTATATCGAAAAACACATTATTTCAATTTTTTTGATTTAATTAAAAATATTTATAAATATACATGTACTCATATAGATAACAATATACCAATAATATACAAAATAACTATATCAAACATTTAACATGGATAATGATAAGTATAAAATTAATAAAATTACTTTTATAAAACAATTATTATTATTAAAGTTGATACTACATTTACTTAATTATTTATTTATATAATTCATTATTTATTTATTTGTTTATTATCCTATATATTAATTATAATTATATATTCAATATTAAACCACATAATAAAACCAAAAAGAAATTTAATTTTCTTTTTAATTTTATATTTTTTCTTTCTTGTTTTCTTTTTAATTACCAAATCATGAATTGATCCATCAAACCCAATTAATGTTTCAAGATCAAGATATTTTTAATATTTACATATCGATCAAAACAATAAAATTTGTCAAAATCAACCAAAATTATCTGAAGCTTATTAAATCAATTGATATTATCCGATACTAAAATTAATAAAAAATATTACTCCCTATATATTGGATATTGTCAAAATCAATATATATCGACTGATACTGTGCTTAATTAAGTTATTCAATTATTATTTTTATTAATTAAACCTCTAAAGTACTATTTTTGCTTTAAATAATCCTTTAAAATGCTATTTTTAATTAAACCTTTTATTTTACATAAAAACAACTAAAATTTGTTAGCATTTTTTATTAAGTCAGCATAGATGATCGTTATCTCTATCATGTCAATAAACAAAAAGTTACATTTGAATGCCCATAGAAGAACATTCATTCTTGAGCCTAAATTCATGAAATTAGGTCTTCTAGCTTCCAAAACTTATTCCAAGCTTTATTTTATTTTGGTTTCTTATTTCCTTAATTAACATATTTAATTTATCATCTTTTCCTATTTTGAAAATATTTTCAATCCTTTGTAAGCCTGTGCTATATGCCATCTAAGAGTCCACTTAGAATAAATTTTCACATTTTGTCATGTAAGCATTGATTTTGCAAAGATAATAATGTAACCATGCATTTTGAATTGGAAAAAGTAATGAATTTTATTGGTTTTTATAAAAAAAAAAAAAAAAAAAAAGTTTAATTAAATAAAAATAATATTTTAAAGGTTTAAGGGAAATATTTCCATTAAAATGGTTTCACAAAAATTTTTATTAATTAATATTATGATTTTAGGGGTGTTCATTCAGTTAATTCAATTAATTTCAAATTAAATTATTTTATTTTATTTTTATTAATCCAAATAAATTTATTAATTTCAAATTAACCAAATTATATTATTTTATTTTTATTAATCCAAATAAATTTATTAATTTTAAAAATCTAATTGATTGAATATAATTCAATTAATTTTTGAATTAATCAAAAAACAAAATATATTTAAATTAAATTATATTTTAAATTTTAAATTTTTTTATATTTGAAATAAATTAAATAAAGTAATCTAATAAAATATTCAAATATCAAAGTATGAAGTTGAAAAATCTAACAACTTGTAAAATAAAATTGTCAATTTACTATATTTTTAATTTTATATTTGAATTTCTTATATTTTGATTAAAACTTCAGTTTAATTGATTTTTGAATTTAATTAATCAAAAATTAAAATTTCTTTAAATTATTTTTGATAACCGATCAAGATTAATTGGATGATCAATTGATTAATTAAATTAAATCGATTTGATTGATTAATTCTATTAAAATTGAAATATGATCACTCCTACATTAGGGGTGATTACAATTTATTCAGTTCCCTTTTTTTGGATAATACATAGAATTATAAATTTTAAAATCTAGTCCAAATCTAAATTGAATTTCATAAAATCCAATCTGAACCCAATTTTATCGATTTGATTTTGTTCATTAATTTTTAAATTTTATTTTTTATATTATTTTAATATTATTTTTAAATATTTAAATAGATTTAGGTATAAAATAATTATTTTTATTTTATAAAAATTTAAGATATATATAAAAATTAATAAAAATATATAATTCGATTTGATTTGATTTTTTTAATTTTTTACTTTTTGATCTAAAATTTGATTTGAACCTAATATATTTGTTTAATATCAAACTTATTCTAAACCAAATAAAAAAAATCGATCTAAATCGAATCAAACACTATAATTTTAAATTAAATTTGAATTTTTTCAAATTTTTTTCACCTCTACCCTACATAACCTTAATGTTCAATGGATATTAACTCAATATTCCTAGTGATTATCTTATGTGCATACAAAGGAAGTATACATCTTTTTAATAAAAAAATATAAACAATTAACTTCAACAAAGTTAATTGTGTTTTTTTTCTAAAAGATTGTGCATGATAATTTATTTTAAACAGTATCTTATTTTTTAAAAATGTGATTCCTAAATCCTGAACCAATGCACCCACGAAAATTTCATAAGTTTGTCTAACGTGGTTTGAAATGTGCATAAATTTACAATATATAGATATGTACAATGAGTGTATCAATAAATGTAAGGTTTTGAATATTTATTGATTTAATTTATTGACCATTAATTGTATTTTTTATTAAATAAATAAATATATATATATATATACATGGTGCGTTGTAATTGTGATTTGCATAATTACATATTGGAGTAATAAAAGATTAAATTTTTTATTAATTTTACATTATAAATATTTTTTCCCTGATTATTTTTATTATGATACTCTAAATAATAGATATTTTTAGTGACCATTCGCTTTTGTATTTCCCCAAGGTTTAATTGAGTACAACGGGTGGTTTATTTTTTTGACCAATAATCAATAAATAATAAATAAAAAAAATGTGAAAACTTCGGCGACAAAATTGTCATGGCATTCCATCATTTATCTCAAATATGACCCTACCAATCGCCTCTTTTTCCTTTTTTAACCCATGCTTGCCCAGGGTAAAGCCAATGGGTCTTGTCCACCAAATGTTTGATCAAATTCCTTTACGAAATCGTTGGATTAATTGAAGAAGAAAGCTGCGGATTGGAGGGGTTACCAATGCAGAAGAATAAACTTAGCCACCGCCTTTTGTCTCTAGTGAGACACTACTCCAGAGTAGCTCCGCCTCCACCTGTCTATGCCGACCCAATCATCCGTGTTTCTAATAACGTGGCTTACTTGGGAAGCCCCAAACAGGGTTCAAAGCCTCGCCAACTCCTTTCCTTGCCTCCTTTCCCTGGCTACCCTTTACCTGGGAAGAACACTTCCACTGGTCATGTCACTGCTATCAGTTGGCTCAAATATTACTTTGATGAAATTCCAGACTCAGCCATTCAGTCCCATTTTAACAGGGGCCTTGTAAGTATAGCAAACTACTTTTTATTTTTTCACATATAGAGAAGAGACCCATTGCTTTGCTTAAGTCATTAAGCTGGCTTTTTGCTTCAGTTCTTTGGGCTTTCTTTAAAGAATTGCGATTGTCCATCCCAAATGTTGTGACTGATACTTATTTTCAACATATGTTAATCTGTTTCTCTTGTTGCAGGTTCAGATGGAATCCTCAAATCCAAATGCTGATGATTCTTTCATAAAAAGGGTTGGGCAAATGAAACCCTTGAGAAAGGTACTGATGCTTCTTGATATAGCTTGTTACCTGTAATCTCAGAATTTTATTTTAAAAAACTGTTTTTCCTGAGCCTTTGTCAATACTATGCTCTTCTGTCTGGGTTTAATTACTCTGCACTTATACAGCTTACCTACAGGTCAAGCATAATGAGGTGATGGAGGTCGGGGCAAGAGTTTGGGTACCTGTATCAATTGCAGAGACTCGAGTTTCCAAGAGATTTGATTGTATACCAAGTGGGACACTCTATCCAAATGCGGATGAGATTGAATATTTGCAAAGGCTTGTCAAGTACAAGGCATGTATTCAGTTAAATTGCTTGTTGGTATCTTTCATCAATATATCCTGTATGCTTCCTATTCTATATGTTTGTCCTTGTGTGCACATTGGTGTAAGTTGATAAGTCTCCATCTTAACTCCTATGTTAGTTTTCTTTCATAACCTTTTATTTTTCTTTTTCAGGTGTAATTTATATATAAGTAATTCCATAATTATTCTGATTTCCAGTTGATGGATTATGCATGCTCTAGGTTCTGTGTTTCAGCTTGAAGTTTTATTTTCTAACAAGATGTTCCTATTTTTTACTACTGCTGTTAAATGTTTCAGGACTATGCTATACTTGTATTAAATAAACCCCCCAAGCTGCCAGTAAAGGTTTGATTACATTATTTAAGGTATTTGAGTTGTTTTCTCAGCATATTGTGTTTCCTCTTATGTTGTTCTGTTACAACATCTTTAGGGAAGTATGCCTGTACATAACAGCATGGATGCATTGGCGGCTGCAGCTCTGTCTTATGATTATGATGAGGGTCCTAAACTGGTACGCTCATTTTTGTAGATTATATGGTGCATGCTTTTACCATACAAATTTTCTGTTTGATTTTACGTAGGCATGTATCGAGGAGTTGTAGTTATAAAGTCATATTTTTATGATATAGTGATATATAGTCCAAAATATGATAAAAAAATGTTGCTTGAATGGATAACCTTGGACTTAATTGAAGATGAGCATCCTTGTTTGAGAGCAGACTTGGCATCATGGTGAAATCTATGGGACTAATAATAGCCTGACCTCAGAGTCGATAGATTTTAATATAGTTGCAGTGTTTGTTGTTTCCTATCATCTCTGTTTGCCCACATGTAAGCACTTTTTGGTTTGATTTTATAATTCTTTCTTGAAAAGGTTCTTAACTTCTGCTTAGAGATCCATAATCATGGTATTTGAATTCTTTATCCCCAATAAGCGAAGAAACCATATATCTCATTATTTCATGGGAGAAATTTATTTTTTCTTCTTTGACGATAAAAACTATATCAACCTCAAAAGCTACTTTTGGGAATAGTATTAATAAAAGAACCAAATAATTTATCTCCTTTTTCCTTTCTTCATTGTCATTATTGAAGACTCAAGTTAGTTGGATCTCTTCTTTTTTTAACCTGTTGAAGTTTAATTTAATTTTTTTTCATTGATGTTATACTGTTTACCTTGAGAGTAATGAATATTAAGATATTAATAATTTATTGACAGTTGATGGTGCTTCTGGTATGGCTAATTGCTGAAAAGGGAGGTATCGTGTATGTTGCATTTTTATGTACTTGGGATAATGCTTAGTGGGGTAAAGCTTATGTTGAAAGGATTGCTTGGAGTTATAAGTGGCATGTAGTTTGTAGCAGTCAATGAGTTCTGATTGAATTTTAGTTTTTTGGTAACAACTTGGATTTGATATGTTTGTTTTGATACGGTCTTTTTTTCCCTCTACAATTAACTTTAAGCATGCTGTTGGGAGGTCGTGATTTTCACTTTCATATTGCTTTTGTTATTCAAGTGTTTTAATTTAGTTTTTCTTGATCCATTTTTCTATGACTTTTTCACTTCTACTGCTTTTATTGTCAACTTTGGTCAGGTGCATCGGCTTGATAGAGAAAGCAGTGGCCTCCTGTTAATGGGAAGAACTAAAGAAAGCATAAATCATCTTCATTGGCTATTCAATGACTTAAATACAGCAAAATCCTCATGTAAGGTACGTAGCCTAACTAAAGAAAACAAATTGTCAAATGCATGCTTCCTACATCCCATCGCATAGTTATTATGTCTTTTTTTTGTTAGTGTAATGGCTGCCAACATCTATAGCATCAGGGTGTGGTTGGATTAGGCATTTGGAGGAGGAATTCATTTCAATCAAGGTTTTCAAAAGTCCAAAAATTTATTTACTTGTTTGGATAAAAATAAAAGAGAATTTCAAAATTTAGGTGGAATTTTCAAATTCCTATTGACATTCTATCTAAATAGGTGATTTTTCAAAATTCCTCCAAATCCTCTCTCTTTATTGCACATGGCCCATCATAAAATGCAAAATTTTTAAAAAATAAATATAATTTTATTGAACTCTAATATATATTTTTATTTTTTTATATTATTAATAATATCTACATATTTTTACAAATCTAATGATACTCATATTGCACATTTTATTTATATATTTTTTATTTTTAATATCATTATTCTCCTTTTATAATTATTTTTTTATCTTATCAAATTCTAATAGATTAAATTTCTTTCTAAAAATATTTATCCAAACAAAATAATTACAAATTCAAACATTTTGAAATGATACATTTTTAAATGCCCTCATTTCAAATTTCTTCAAAAATTCAAAATTCTCCATCCAAACATACTCTTAAAAACAGCTAGTCAAACATTTCCCTTCTTTTAGTTGACAAAATATTCTGTTGGAAAATTTAGGCTTGGAATGATGCATGTGATGCTAAGTTTCAGCGTTTTTGGGCATTGGTGATAGGCACTCCAAAGGAGAATGAAGGCTTAATTTGCGCTCCTCTTTCAAGGGTTCTCTTTCGCCAATTTACTCTCTTCCTGCCTCTACCTTAACCAGCTTTTTACTCATGTATCTGTTGTTGATTTTAGATTCTTCTTGATGATGGTAAGACTGAGAGGGTCATCTTGGCTCAGAATGTGGGTTTAGAACCTTCTCAAGAGGCTATGACTGAATATCGGGTACTAGGTCCTACAATAAATGGATGCTCATGGATTGAATTGCGCCCACTTACTAGCAGGAAGCACCAGGTACCATAATTTAGCTCTCTATCTGAGCAACCCATCTAATCCTATTTGAGTGATATATGAAGGCATTTTGTAGTTTTAGAATCCTATTGAGAAGGTGACAACTACAGTCTAGGAATAATGTGTTTACAGGTCAAGATATGGACTCTGTGCGCCGGCTCTGATTGATAAGCAAAAGGAAGGGTGGGGGGGGGGGGGGGGGGATTCTTTAACTTTTGAAATCCAAATGGATGTGGAAAAGGCCTATAATTAATCTGTCTGTCTTCCTATGTAGAGTTTTTTTTTACTTTTCATATCAAGTCAATCAATTATAATTAGTCTTCTTTGTTATGTACTATATATTTTTGTCCCAAGCCACACCAAAGTTCTAGTGCTTCCATTTTCTTGCAGCTTCGTGTCCATTGTGCAGAAGCTCTCGGGACTCCTATAGTTGGTGACTACAAGTATGGCTGGTTTGTTCACCGGAAATGGAAGCAGATGCCCCGAGTTGATATTGAACCAATGACGGGAGAACCATACAAGTTACGAAGGCCAGAAGGTCTGGATGTTCAGAAGGGAAGTGTATTGTCCAAGGTTCCCTTGTTGCATCTGCATTGCAGAGAGCTTGTACTTCCAAACATTGCAAAGTTCCTTCCAGTGCTGAATAAGAAAACAGAAACCCTGCCTCCTGCGCTTAGCGCAAAGCCGGATCTCCTTCGCTTTGTAGCATCAATGCCTAAACACATGAAGATTAGTTGGAATCTGATGTCCTCCTATTTAGTGTAAATATCCAAGTTGGCACATGGTTAGTGATGGTAAAACTTATGAATTTTGATATCTGATCTTATATTCATTAACAATATATACTTACAAGTCCTTGATTTTATGTTTTGCTGCCAGTTCAATTTTGTGGAGGTCATGATAATCTTGTGTTATAGTTATGGGATTTGTTTTTATGCAATGATTGTAGTTATTTTTGTTAAAGGGTTGGGTTACTTGTCCAGATCCGAAAATCCGCATAAATTTTGAGAGAATTTAAACAAAAAAATAAAACTTGTTAAATGAACTTAGACATGTTTTTAAATTTGTTTAAATTTTGGGTTAGGTTTTGTACAAAAGAATTAAAATTTGGGCTTGATTCGGTTCAAATAAAATATTATATAAATATATATGTGAATTTTTATATTTTATTTTTAAATAATTTTTTAATATTTTTATTATATAAATTAAGTTTGATAAATGAATCAGGGAATTGGTTTGAAAAAATTTTAAAACTTAAAATATCATTTTAAATAAGTATATAAACTATTAATATTAAGCAAGAGTTCGGTTTGAATCCAATTATGTTTAACTCAAATATTTTTAATTGTAGTACAATTAAACAGTAAAATTAAAAAAAAAAAACTTGATTAATATGCAAATTAATATTTTATGTTTAGTTAAAAAAGAGCAAGAGTCTACTTCAATTAGTTTATATAATTATTTTTAAGAGATAAAATTTAAGTAAGTTTGAAGTTAAAATTTTAGTTTTTATAACTTATTTTCTTATTTTTAGTTACAAATTTTTATAGAAAAAACCTGAGTAAACAATAAAAATGGATATAATAAAGTAAAAATGTGAACAAATTGAATTTATTTGAATGTTGTTTGATAAATTAAAAATATTCAATATTGAATTTTTAGTTTTGATTCATTAATAAGAAAATATCATTTTAAAAGACCAAGTATAGAATAAATGTTTTGTTGATTTTTTATTAAATACTTCACATTAATATGGAAAAAAATAATGTTAAAGTAATTGAATGATATAACTTTCGTTAAATTCATTAAGTAGCTTTTAACTATTTAATATTTTTATTAAAATTTTATTTAAATGATTTTTAAAATAGATTCTCAAACATATTGAAGATATTAAATGATTAAAAATTTTTAATAATTTATCAAACATAGCAATGCCTAAACCCATTTGCTACGATTGCGTCGAGTCTCCACACAGAATGTACATTGCTCAGGTTTTCTTCTATTTTTCCATTTCGTCTCTCTAAATGTAGAAATTAAATATCATTGAAATATGGCAATTCTTGTAATGCTCCCATGATTTGATTTCAAAATTTTAACTTCTTCTTTGTGTCTTTACTGATTTAATTGGTTTTTATAAATTGCTATCATGCACTTTGTTTATTCATATACTATATCCCAACAAGAAGGTAGCAACATTTCCTCCATCATATGTCGTCCTAGAATAGAATCAAATGTTTGGTTTTTCATTTTAATGTTTTTTAACTTTTTCTACTGAAATTTCTTTTGTTATTTGTCTGTAAACAGGGAGTTATGAAGACAATGAACGTTAACAAACTGAACTCTGTTAGGTGAAGAGTAAAAATTTGGATTACAGATTGGTTTGCACAGCTAAACAATAAAATGGTTACTGACTTGAAGAAAATCAAAATAGTCAGACAGTATTTGATTGAAATCAGGTAGGCAGTCGGCAATCGGCATGGATCTAAATGGAAAGGTTGAATTCTCTGTTCTTTACCCATGCATGCAGAGTGCTAATATATTTTTCCTAAAGGTGCTTCTACTAATGAATGTTATGTTTTTTTCTTTTTTAATACCCTGCCTTATAATAAAGAATTTCAGCCAGATTTATACGTAAAGCTTACTGAAAGTGCAACGGACACTCGGTGTCCTGAGTTATTTCTAGTAATCACTCACCTCTATGTTAAACTTGCATAAGGAACACTAAAATGTTTGTGTAATATTTTAATGTTTGTCAATGGCTTATCTGTTAATATTTGCAGTAGTATTTTGAGTCTCATCCTTTAATGCTTAGCATGCTATAAAGTGATCCTCTTTTGGTGTAAGAAAGAAGAAAAAGAGTTTGATGGGCAATTTTTCTTGACTATTCTTTTCAGTATTGCTTTTGGCCCTTGCATTTGTTACTTCTTTTATTTCTTTTTTATATTCTTCTCTAGATCAACAAGGATGACTTGCTGAGAAACAATGTTTTTTATGGCATAAAGTCTCTATCTTGGCCCAGTTTTCAATTGCTCATTATAGATTGAAAATTCTCTCTTAAAATTTGGAAAAATATCAAAATTTTTTGTTGACACTGTATCTATAGTGTGTAGGGGGAATATCTTGACATCAACAATATAAAATCTTATTGGGGTATTTTCTGTGGGACATCAATGGGTATTTTTTATAATTGAGAAGTTTCTCTAGGACATCATTTGGTTTTCGTTCATTTGAGGATTTTATGAAGGATATTGTTCAGTAATTTTTTCTCAATGTTATTCTTTTATTCATGTTGTTCCCATCCTGTCAAAATCAAGAAAAGTTTCAAATTCTGATTGAAGTTCCAAATGTATCATAAATGTTCTGCTACAAACCATTTTGACAGTTAGAAAGAACAACTTGCTATTCTTACTATCTTTTACAAGCTGTACCCTTGCTTGTTGTACATTCTATGTTTTTTTATATGTTGTAGTGTTAATTTCAAACGTTTTTTATCAAAGAGCAATTGGAACTATGTAACGTGAATAGGCGGACATTTTATTAGGTCTGAAGTGACAAACATAATAATACATAAGTAATATATTACAATAATTTCATAACAATAGATAACAATCAACAAAAAAAATTACAAAAAAAAATAAAGTACACCAAAATTTACATGAAAAACCATCTAGTGTAGAAGAAAAAAATTATGGATCACTAAAAAAAATTTTATTATCAAATAATAGATATGCAAAGTTCTCCTCTAGCTAAAACTAAAAGCTAATCAATAACTAGAGAAATAATTTGAGAAATCTCACTAAATAAATAACTCAACAAATATATTTTGGATTTGATCCTAGAAAGTTTCAAACCTAATCTCTACCATTCAGAATGTAGAACATTAAATCATGAACCTGTTGACAAAATATCAGCTCAAGCAAACCATAGATCGACTTCTGTTCAACCAACTCTCCCTTCTCCCTTTTCTCTCTATCTTTTTTTACTTCTTTTTTTTCTTTTCGGTGCCACTTTCACTTTCTTTTTTCATGCCAAAAACTACCCCACACTATTTTATTAAGTAGGGTTTTTATTTCAATTAAAACAAAAGGCTTTGGGCCTTTAATTGGTGGAAACAATGAGAATGGGGCTAAACCCTACATTCCTAACAATCTCCCCTTTTAGTCCTATTAGGAGGAGACTCATCACTGTAGTAATCTTATTTGGAACTAACTTTGGCCAAGGAACCCATTCCTACCAAATTATTATGGAGCTCAAGCTTTTTTCTGGAAAATGTCTTAGTCAGTATATTTGTTGCATTCTTATCAATACGAACTTTCTTCAATTGCATTTGTTGCTCTTCAATCACCAAATGAAACTAGTGATATCTAACATCAATGTACTTCATTTTAACATAGTACATGACATTCTTATTCAAATCTAAAGTACTCTAACTATTACAAAACATCATATACTTTTTTTGATTCAACCCCAATTCAAGAAAAAAATGTTTTATCTAAAGTATTTCTTTACTTGCTTTAATTATTACAATATACTTAGTCTCTATAGTTGATAAAGCAACACACTTCTGTAATTTAAAATGTCAAAACATAGCTCCTTCTGCAAAAGTAAATAAATACCCTGAAGTAGATTTCTTACTATCAAGATCACATGTCATGTAAGCATCAGTAAACCCTTTTAGAATTGGTTGTGTAGTTCTATAACTCAAGCACATCTTTAAGGTGTTCCTCAAATATCTAAAAATTCATTTCGTAACTCTCTAATAAACCTTTTCTGATTAGAAAGAAATCTATTCACTACGCTAACTACATGAGCAATGTTAAATTGTGTACAAACCATAAAATACATTAAAGAACTAACTACAAAATAATAAGAAATACTAGACATAGTGAGTTGCTCTTCTTTAGTCATCGGATAAGATTTCTTACTCAAATGAAAATGGTTGGTAAATGGACTGCTAACTGATTTAGCATGTTGCATGTTGAATCTACTAAGTATCCGTTCAACATACTTTTTCTATGACAACCATAGCTTTTTAGCTCTTTTATCCTAGATAATATTCATATTAAGAATCTACTTTGCTGGACCTAAATCCTTCATGTCAAACGACTTAGACGATTATTTTTTCAACTTACAAACCATACCATCATTTTCTTTTACAATCAACATATCATCAACATATAATAAGAGAATAATAAAGTTATCATCAAAGAATTTTCTAACATACACACAAAAATTCACTATCATTCTTTTATAGCTGTGGCTTACCATAAAAGAATCAAACTTTTTGTACCACTATCGTGGAGCTTGTTTCAAGTCATACAAGCTTTTCTTCAGTTTGCAAACTAAGTGCTTTTTTTCTTTTATTTCAAAACCCTCAGGTTGATCCATATAAATTTTTTCTTGTAAGTTCTTATGTAAGAATGTAATCTTGACATTAAGTTGCTCAAGCTCAAGATTAAAATTAGCTATTAATTCCAGTACCACTCGAATAAAACTTATTTTCACAACTGGAGAGAAGATCTCATCAAAAACAATATCAAGTTTCTAAGAAAAACTTTTCACCACCAATCAAGTTTTGTACCCCCACTAACTTGTCACCATCTTTTTTTAGCTTGAACACCCATTTATTTTTTAACGACCTTCTTTCTTTTGAAAGTTTAACAAGTCATGTGTACTATTTTTTTGTGATGACTTTATTTTTTCTTTTATTACTTTTAATTGATATACTCTATTGGAGTATTTTACATATCTTAAAAGCTCTTTGACTCTCCCTTACTGGTAATTAAAATAAAATTTAAACTTGGATACCTAGTAGATGGTTGATGCTTTTTGGTAGATCTCTTAAACTGAGACTCTATACTACCTGATACCGAAAGTAGCTTTCTCTGCTCAACACTCTTTTGTGAAAAGAATTGCTCACCCTACTCAATACTCTCTGATAAAGAAGACTATTCTCTCTACTCAA